CCGGTGCCGTACCGCGAGGCCCCGATGGCGTACGAGCCAGCGAGGCTCTGCTGGTGCAACCCCCGTCGGAAGGCGCCTAGGTGGATCTCCTGGAGCCGTCAGAATCCAGGCAGGAGATACTACGCCTGTGTTGATGCGATGGTGAGCTTCAAGTTGCTGTTTTTTTGTTCTGTTCATTTGTCCCCCCCCCCCTCTCATTGATTTTTGTTGGTGCAATTGAACAGCATGGTGGTTGTGGATTCGTGGAATGGCATGATGACCCACTTCCCAAGTTTTGGAGTGATTTGATTGGTGATTTGCGAGATGAAGTGCGTAGGCTGAGAGGTCAAGGAAGTGGTGCTGTGATTGAAGATCCCACTGCAGTTGTGGCTCTCCCTGAAGCTGAAACAGGAGGAATGGGAATGGCTATGGCTCTGCAAGATCAATTGAAGCAGAAAAATTTAGAGATAGATGCACTGAAGGGCAAATATCAGACTGCTGTCATGCTGTTTGTTGTATTTGTGGTGGGTTTAGTTGTAGGGAAGATGCTACTGTAATAAGATGTGCAAGTGTTATTTCATCAGTTGTATTTGTATGCAATGTAGCAATGCTTTAGGGTTTAGAATGAACTGGAAGTTGTATGCATTTGGCACTGTTTGGAATCAATGAAAGTGGAAGTGCAAGTTGTGTTATGCCATCATTTTGTACCTCTCTGAAATGCATATATGTTTGCAATCTTTGCTGGCAGTAAAGTGAAAAATGATGCAGTTAGTAATATATTGCAGTACAGTGGAACATTATGCTGTTTGTAACATAATGCATTGTCAGGATGGCATTTAGAAACAATGATAGCAAGTAATAAGAAGGAAATGCCACTGATGAAAGATCATTCAGATCAACTTAATTTCACATAGACTAGGTTTGAAATAAGTCACACTCCCACACAAATACATGACCTCTAGTTTGAGCCATGAACAAAAGATAAGTTTGCAACATTACATCAGAAATGTTTTGAAACATTGCAACTTCAACAAAAGAACTAGATGCAACCCTTTTCAACTATAACTAGTAGTTTCCACTGCAAGTGAAATATCTGAAGCTTGGCACTGATGATGCAGGCCTTCTTCCCCTCTTAGCTCCAGATCCTGTCCTTGTGGAAGTAGATGATCCAGCTTCAGCAGTTGCAGTTCTCTTTCTTGGAGGCTTGAACCTGTTGGTCCCAGTAGAAGGACCTGTTGGTACTGAACTTGTTGTTGGTGGAGCAGATGCAGAGGCAGAGGCAGATGTTTGCTGCAAATTAAGGATAAATATGCAATAAGTTCCAACACAAGAGTAATAAGCAGGATAAATATGCAATAGATAAGTACATGACAGCAACAAATACCTCAGTTGGGTTCTTTTTCTTGCTAGTTCTAGCAAGATGAGCATTTTTTTTCTTGCCTCTCTCTGGATTCTGCTTACATCCTGATTTGTTGTGTCCAGGGTTACCACACAAGGAGCATTTGATAATTGTGCCATGCTTGCTCATTTTCTTCCCCTTAGGTTGCTCAGTTTCCTCTCTTCTCCTATCATTGTTTTTAGGCCTTCCTTTTTTCTTCTCTTTTCCTGGCAACCTAACATATTCAGGAGCCACTGGCCTAGGATTGGGTGACACTGGCCACATCTCTTCACCCTCCACAGGCTGCAAGCAATGCTCATAGATTTTGTTGAACACTTCAACCAAGTAGCAAGGAGCAATAAAATCCTCAATTTTTCTGTTGCACTTGTAGATGGCACTAACTGCATGGTGGCAAGGAAGCCCTGCCAGCTGGAAGTACCCACAAGAGCATGTCCATTTTTCCAGGTCCACAGTGTACTGCCTTCCTCTTCCATTCACTTGCTTCACTTCAAATCCATTTTCTCCATTCCATAGCACTTCAAGATATCGTGTTCTAGCAATACTTTTCTTGAGCTTCTTAAAAACAGCAGGGCATATTTTTCCTTTAAAGTTGGCACCTTTCTCTCTTTGTTCCTGAATTCTCACACGTACCTTTTTCCTAATTTTTTCATTCATAGAAATAATAGGATAAAACCTAGCATCAACTATAGCATGGTTGAATGACTCACATAGGTTGTTGTCAACTGATTCACACAACAATTTGTCCATGACAATTCTTTTTGCATGCTT